TGGCTCTCTCCAAGGCCCTGGAATACTTTCTCATCCTTAGTACACTGGTTGCAAACCAGCGGTGTGCAAACTTTTCAAATTGTGGACTCTTCTTCCCATTACACATAGATTATAAACTGCACACGTTTCTTCCTATTTGTATATTAAATGTTAGCTAAACTTCTTTAGATAAAATAACTATGCTGGTCATTTGTTCCCATGGTCCTCCGGGGTCCTTACAGGAACTCCCCATGGAGCTGCACCTCACCAGAAGAGCCACAGGACCACAGTCCTCAGCCCCCCTGTTCCCAGGCTCTTCCCAGCCTTGTTCAACCTGCAAGGCTCAACTTGGGGCTCCCACCAACCCTCAGCAATGTACTCCATCCTGTAGACCACCCGCTACTCCTTTCTAGGAGTCGAAGTCCCCTGTCAGGGGTGTTAGGAAGCTGTGGAGAGGAGAGAGGCAGAGGCGGGGCTGTGTTCCTGCTTTCTGCTGCTGGCCAGAGCAGACTTGGAAGTGTGAGGCAGGGGCTGGAGGGAGGAAGCCTCTTTTTACCTCCCTTACAATGGAAGTAGTGGGGGCTGGGGATTTAGCTCAGCAGCACAGAGCCTGCCTGGCAAGCACAAGGTTGTGAGTTCGATTCCTGGTACTGGAAGAAAAACAAAAACAAAAACACACATACAATGGGAGTAGTGGCTCTGTTTGCAGGAAAGATGGAATGGACTGTTTTCTCCAACTCTAGAGGCCAAGCCAAATTCCTCACTAAAATACCAGGAAATAGGCAGGAAAAGATGAAAATTCACACCACCTCCACTGAAACCCTGCTGACAGGCTGGAATGCCTGAGAAACTGAGACACCCTGGGTGCAGACCGTGGAGCCTCAGGAGAGAAGATCCCAAAGGGATTCGCTCAAAAGGCCCAGAAGGTCACTTACAAAGCAAGACCCAGCCCACTGGATCACTGTGACGGAGGCCCTGCCACTCCTCTAAGGAGATAAACATGAAAATGAGAGCTGGCTGTGGTACAGGGCATGCAGGGAAAGCCCCGACCTGCTGCAGAGGGACCTGGGGCCTCCGCTGGTCCCGCCTCCCGTGAGGCTGCCTGGTGCTTGACAGTGTTTAATGAGGAGGTTCCTCCGGAGGCCCTGAGAGGCTGTGGGAGGTGGGCAGGCAGCCAGAAGGATCCCAGAAGATGGGAGTGCTGCAACTGTCAGGCCTCACACTGGTGATGTAATGCCTAGCCAGGGTCCCAGCAAAATAAGGCCGATGTTGTCACTGCCCTCCTGGCAACCAGGAGCTGCCCTCCCAACACCCCAGCTGTTCGACACCATCACTGACTCCCCTCCCTTTGTGGCAGGAGGAGATGTGAAAAACCTGCTTTGTCACATAAAAGCCAACCCGAGACATAAGAAATGTCTTTTCAAACGTGTCTTGCTGAAGAGGGATTTCCATAGCAACTTCAGAAGTGTGTGTACACAACTGGAGAGAAGTCCAGGCTGATGAAAGCCACCTGGAACGCAAGCAAGCTCTGCCCTGGGTATCAGCAGCACTGGCCTCTCTAGAACCTGCCATGCTGCTGTGTGACCTTGGACAAGTCCCTCCCCTCTCAAATGTGAAACGGGACAGACTCACCGTCAGATCAGGCTGACAGAGACCAAGGCCATCTTCTCTACACCACACTCCTGTCCTGGCCCCTGCTTTCTGCTTCTGACTAGTCTCTGGTTGAATAATTCCCGGCTCAAGGTGTCTGCCAGTCTTATTTATTATTTGACATAGGGTGGGACAAAGATCATTTAAGCTTGATTCTAAAAGAAACTGGTGGGTCTTTTTTTTTTTTTTGGTTTTTCTCCGGTACTGGGAACTGAACTCACGACCTTGCGCTTGCCAGGCAGGCGCTTTTGCCGCTGAGCTAAATCCCCAGCCCCGAAACTGGTGGGTCTTTATAAGAGGAGTGCTCTGCTGGATCAGAGAAAGACTGTACTTAGAGGTGTTATCATTGTTCAATAGATAAGATTCTTGCAAGAGTCTCTGAGATGCTGAGAGTCGGGAGCAAAAGGTTTATTGGGACTGTTACTGGGTGCGAGGGAAGCAGGGCTCGGCCTTGGCAGGCATCTAACTCTAATCCAGGGGTGACAGAGGCCCTCAGCAGCCCCTCAGCAGCCCGGACCTGTCCTGTTGGAGGCAAAGGAGCTGGACCAAGTCTACAGCTGCCTGCTGCCCTTCAGCGAGGGCAGCTCCCCGAGGAGGACCAAGCATCAACAGAGCCCCCCAGGGAAGGGAGTGAGACCTGGGTCCTACGAGGGGCAGGGTGATGCCTTGGCTGTGTCTGTATCAGACAAGAAGTCAACCTGAGGACACTGTGACCAAGTGGCCAAGAGCTCAGACATCAGAAGCAGACAAATGAGCAAGGCCAGATTTAAGTGTTGATCTGTGGCCTGAGCCAACAAATTGCTTGGAGAGTCCGGGCCACAGGCCCTTGGCAAGGTAGGGTCCGGCCTGGCTGATGACACAAATATGAAGTTCAGAGACAGGATCAGTGCACATTCTGGTCACTTACTGGCTCTGTGACCTCGAGCAGGTGCTTTACATCAGTAAACTCTACAACGGGGACATCAAGGTACTTTTGTCTGTTGCGAAGGCCGGCAGGGATGAGACAAAGCATTTTACGTGGAACCAGCACAGGGTCTGCTCCCCAAAGGCAGATGCGCTGACAATGTCCGGTCCTTGCACACCACAGACTCTTGCATCAAAGCAGAAGACTTTGTACCAAATGATCTTTTCTCAAGAGGAAAAAAAGATTTCAAGAGAATTTCTAGCTTGCCCTTTGTCCCCCTAGGCCTTTGCCTTGAACTTAGCTAGGAAGAAAAGACCCATGTTTGCAGAGAGAGAAAGCCTAGTGTCATAGGGGACACCCCTGGCAATGAGGGTCATTCATAGCAAAAAAGTGGAAGGAAGTATTTGGCATACCACACACTTGGAAACTGTCTTATTTTCCAGTCAAAAAATAGTCACCCATATTTATGACAGTTATAATAATCAATGAAACTCACTTGGACAAACATTGTTGCCTGTTCAGCCTGGTTGACTGTCTCAAATCCAAGCTAAAGAGGGTTGATTTGAAGTCAAGGAAGATTTCAAATACCTTGGAGGGCCATGCAAATTCAATGTGATCATTGTCAGAAAACTTGACTCCCATCAATGAAAAAGGAAAACAGCAAGAGTATAAGCCAATAAATGATAGGAGTTGGTTGGTTCTAATTACAAGAAGGAAGCCATAAAATTCCCAAGATTTACACAGGGACCTAGGCTACTACTGTTATTATTAATTTCCATTATTACCATTGTATTGTCAAGTATAGTACATGCACATTACCTCACTGACACTAATAATAAATCCTGTAATGTAGGTATTGTCCCCAGCATACAGATGAGAAAGTTGCCCAGGGCCAGAGTGACTGGCGCAATGTTGCTGAGTCCAGACAGCATGAGGAGTATGGGTGGAAAGCCAAGCACATGCTGCCCCACTGCAGGAAGAGAGCCCTGCTTCCCTTGCGCCCCAGTAACAGCCCCAATAAACCTTTTGCTCCCAATTCTCAGCGTCTCAGAGACTTTCACAGGAATCTGACCTGTTGAGCAATGATAACACCTCTAAGTACAGTCTTTCTCTGATCCAGCAGAGAAAGGTGGTAGGGCTCCGACAGTGGGTATGGTGTGGCCTGGGCTCCGTGTGTGGGGAAAGTCTCCCAACGCTGTGCCAGTCCTTAAAGGTCCTTGGTCACGGCCCAGAGCACCCTCTCCCTCAGACCAAAAGCCTGAAAGAAATATTCAGACTAGCAGGCGTCTCTAAACAGGGAGGAAACATGGTTCTAAGGCACCCATAGGAGCTGTGTCTGACTCAGTCTTCTCTTTGTCTTGTTTTCTCTCTGCTGGGACACTGGGGGTGTGGAAGATTTGGCAATGAGCTTGTGTTGATGAATTAAGGACAACTACTAGGACCTGTGTACGTTAAACAGGATGGTTTACAGGCCTTCTGCTATGACAGAACTCGCTGCAGTGAACGTATCTTCATTCGACTCCAAGTGAACTTGATTTAAAAATGAGGAAACCAAGGCGCAGCGAGGTAAAGTAACTTGCCCTACATCTCACAGGCCCTTAGGGGCAGAATCCATGTTGCTAACCTAAGTTCAGACTCCAGTTGCGAAACCAGATTAATTAAAATGAACATCCAGGGTCTGGCTTGACTGCCAGGGGAGTAAAAAGTGCACAGCTTAAGTGTGGCTGAGGAAGGAGGTAGCAACAGTCCCGAACTTGGCTGTGTCCTGAGCCCTTGCCCCGAATCGGCCGCATCTCCCTTCTCTCCCTTCAGCCACTTCCCTGAATCACTGCCAAGCCGTCAGCCTCCTACTGGTAAAATATTTCCCAAAGTCTACCCCGTCAGCACAGAGCTTCGCAAACTTAAAAGTGAGGACAAATCCTGGTGTCAACCTGCTAAAATGCAAACTCTGATTCCAAAGTTCTAGGCTCAGGCTGGGGCTCTGCGTTCTAACAAACCCCCAGTGACACGGATGCTGCTATATGGACCGGATCTCCAGTAGCAAGACATCAGCAATATTGTACAATGAAAAGGATTTGTGGGCAAGAACTTTTGAGAAAAACTAGAGTAAACAAAAGGGAACACGTTCCATTACTGCAGGACTTCTCAGAGCCTTTAAAAATTAGGGTACATGAGTAAAGATTAATGGTACAGCCAGAAGGCTTTGATATTGGTTTGCCGAGATGGAAGAGAAAATCAGGAAAATTGTATGTGTTTTTCCCAGTTTACCTTGTTTTCAATATTTCCATGTTCCCACTCATATTCAGCCCCAATTCCACCCGCCTTTCTCCCATTTTCTCCTTGGAGATGGTTGCCCCTGCATCAGACCATACACCTCCAACACCTCTGAGCCTCAGCCCTTCCCCGTCCCAGCTGAGGCTAGGGGCCCCCAGGAGGCGAGGACAGCAAGTGGCGCCCACGGGAGTACCTCTCACACACACGCACGGTCCAGGCGGCGATGATCCACAGCGAGATGCTGAACACCAGCAGCACGGTGCCGGGGCAGATGGTCATGAGTGTCTTCATGACGAAGCGGGTATTGAAGTTGATCTTGTTGAGCGCCCCAATGCTTCGCGAAGAGGCATCGGTGAAGAGCTTGCTGTGCAGCAGCATGACCCGCGCGATCAGATACAGGCGCAGGAACATGGGAATGGACAGGATGATGTCTACGTCGGCCTCCGCGCGCGATGGCGCGTAGGAAAAGGCCAGGCGCGCAGTCCAGAAGAACTTGTACTCGCCGGGAATGGGGTGGATGGCGCACACCAGCATCTCCAGGCTGATGTAGAGGATGCGCTCGTAGGTCATGGCTATCCGCCAGTCGTCCGCGCCGTTGTCGATCACGAAGAGCTGTGGGGAAGAGAACCCGTTAGTGTGGTCAGGACTGGACGCACAGCAGCATGGGGTAAAGCTGGGCAGGCTGGGCCGGGGGTGGTCAGCCTGAGCCTCAGGGCCTCCTTAGGGGAGCACTGGATGGGCCCAGCCTGAGGCCCTGGCTAAGACATGTTCCCTTTCTGGGCCTCACTCTCCTCTCTGCATAGCGTGATTTATAATAAGAAATGATATATTTGGTCTTTGCCCTGCTTTAGATACATGACCACTAGAACCATAGGAAGGTTTAGGCTGGGGATATGGCTCAGGGTAGAGCCCTTACTTAGTCCAAGGTGAGGCCCTCGGTTGGAGCCCCAGTCCTCCCACCCCTCAAACACACCCAGACGTACAGAACAGGGTATTTCCAAGGAACTGTCTGTGGAATGCTAGTAGGGTGGCTGCTGGCTGGGCCCTCTGGACGGCCTCGGGCAGAGCGGGAGCCAGGAGAATCTGCTCTCAGCCCCGCCCCACCACCTCCTGGAGGGGAGGTCCACTGACTGGCAATGGTCAGTGATATAATCGGTTATGCCTAGACAGTAAGGCCCGGAAGACCCCAAAGGGGAAGGGTCTGGGGGGCCTGCTGAGCATGAAACACATGGAGGTGCTGGAAGGTGGCACACCTGGAGAGGGCATGGGAGCTCTGTGCCCCGCAGCGCCCCATGCCCTGCGCACCTCTATCTGTCTGTTGGTCAGCATCCTCTGAACGTCTTCTGTCACAGGCAGTAAGCATAGTCCCCGAGCATTGTGAGGCTCTAGCAAAGCAATCAAATTTAAGGAAGATTTCATGGGACCCCGGATTTATAACCAATTGGTTGGGACCACGGGGGGGGGGGGGTTCTGAAGTGGAGCTGTGTGGTGGGGTTGGCCCCTTAACCTGTGGCATCTACTGCCAACTGCAGGTGCAGTGTCAAAACTAGTTCAACTGTAGGGCACCCAGTTGGTGTCCCTTGGAGAGCTGCATCCCTAACCCTCTATCTGAGGACCCAGGAGAGAGGCCCTGTACTGCCAGGCCTGTAGCCTCTGAGGGTAAAACAGGAGCCATCAAAGGAACTCCATCACATCTGACACCTGATCTGGACGTGGGCTCTCCTTGCTACCTGTCTGCTGTAGGGCAAGTTCCAGGCAACTCTGTAGGCTGCTGGTAAAAGGCCTAAGGAGGGGGACAGCTAGGCTCGAACCTCACTGAGCCTCAGTTTCCCCTTCTCTCTGCCCTATGACTGTACAGAGCCATAATGAGTGCTGAAGAGCTCCATAAGCTACAGAAGATCACTTATATGTTCACTCATTCAGTCATTCAACAAACCTGTTGAGGGTCCTCTATCTGCTGGGGAGGTGGGACTTGGGGTAGAGCATGGTCCCCATGATGGGGAAGTAGAAGCCACCATGGAGTAACTAGCTGAGCGGCCCAACATCACCTTTCTGATTAGGGCACCAAACAGGAGAGGACACCAGCCCAGCACCAGTGGGAGACAGCCCTCCTCCTTCCCCAGTGCAGGAGTCTGGGATTTCCCCTGTCAATTAGAGATCCCTAATGACCACGCCAAGGGTTCCCTCTGCCGCCTGAGAAGCCAAGCCATAGCAACGTGACTGTCTGGCCAGAGTCTTCAAACACAAAATTAAAACCATCCACCTTGTAATAAAGAATTACATCCAGTTACCATAGTAACTGGGTTCACTCAGGGCAGGAACTGAAGCAATAAGCAACTGATACCTTTGATTGCTCGATGGGGAGGGAACAGCATCCTGTGCCATCTTAAGGAAGGACGGGGCATCAGCAGGTCTGTCTAGCTGGACAGGAGGCCACGGGTCCAGGGCTGTGTCCTCACCTGCCTCTGTTTGGGTTTCCTGGCACAGGGCAGGGGGCATGACATAGGGAGTAGAGCTGGAGGCTGGCGAGCCAGACTGATGTCTCCCACGGCCAGTTCTTAGCTGATATCTCAGGCCGGTGACTTCTCGGAGCCTGCTTCTCACTTCCGTCACGGGAATATTGAGCTTGATGCTGCATGCCCCACTGGATCCGTACCAGTTCCAATAGCCCACCCAGATAACAAGTGGGACTACTCCAAAAATGGGAGGGATTATGAAGCTGCGTGGCCTGGGGGGCATTCATAAAGTATAAGTGGGTGCACCTGTGAGTGTGTGCGTGCATGGGGGTGTTCAGGGAAGGAGAGTGGGAAGAAATATTTTAGACTGAAAACCAAAACTCCAGCTAGATGGGACCTCGCCACAGTGCTTTGCGGACCTGCAGAGTGGGTGATTTTCCAGAAAGCCTCACAGCTGCCCCATATGAGGACACCTTTCTGATCCCTGGAATCACAGCTCTTCAGATAAGGCCCTGTGCCCTTCAGACTCAGGGCAGATAACAGGTACCCATCCTGCTGTTTTCTCACTCAGCTCCTGGCCATTCCTTGCAAAGAACACATCTTAATTATTCATGTATTTGTCTTCACCAGGTTTTTACCTGTCCCTTCATTTAGACCAGCAGTTTTCAACCTGGTGGCCTGCTTGAATTACTTGGAGGATCTTTTTTAAAAATCCCCATGCAACTCAGACCCTAACTCAAAAAAAGAAAAAAGATACAAAAAAAGTCCCCATGCCACCTCAGACCAAGTATGTCTGCATCTCCAAGGGTGGTGCTCTGACACTGGGATTTTTGTTAAGGCTCCCTAAGTTACTCTAAAGTATAGCCAGGGTTGGGATTCCCCAGTCACAGTGGAAGCCCCAAAGGGATAGGGCTGTGGAGTGTCCCTGTTCTCTGTGTTATCTCTAGTGCCCAGCCAAGATTGCTGCACATAGTAAGTGTTCAGTAAATGCTTATGTAGCGATCAGTGACCACCGCTTACTGCGTGACCCTGGACAACTAATCTCTTAGGCTCTGTGTCCTCCTCTGAGGAATGAGAGGACAGAGTAGACAACCCCCACGGGGCCGTGCACTCTGAGGCGCCATATTTGGGTGGCTTTGCACAGACTCTCTCTGGCGCCTCCCACCTGGCATGTGTTCTCAGTGCATAAGAGCCCTCCTGGGCTGGGACCCACGCCTGGCTCCTCCTGCCCGCGCCGGCAATGATGCCTGGCACGCTGTGGGCGGTCAGTTGAATTGTGGTGAATAAAGAGGTGGGAAGAGAGATGACTGCGTTAGATGAAGAACAGGGCAGACTGGCCCTTGCTAGCCACCCAGATGGAAACTCCAGTACAGAAGATACAACTCATCTAGCGCCATGGGAAAGGACACCTGTTCCCAGGGGGTGGTCCAATCTGGAATAACTGTTCCCCGCGATTGCTAAGACTTAGGAAGTTCTAAAGCAAATCTGGACCAGAGAGGGGAGGGGGGCTGTGCACATGATCCTGCAAAGGACCGTTTTCCTCCAGGATTTGGTCTCTGCCACCAGCTTTGCTTCCAGAACGACATGACTTTGACCTCAGGGGGATTTTGGAAAAGTACTGAGGCACCAAGGACAGAACGTGGGGTGGGGCAGGGAGCATCAGGGAGCCCTCAAGGAGAGAAGCCTCGGGGGCCTGGGGCTGACAGGCAGCCCCCTGACATGGCTTCTCAGAGGGAAAGACAGGTTCCCAGTTGCTCGGTCCTTCTGCCTCCTCAGCCTAAGTTGGAAATGCACTCATTTAGGACGCAGTCAGCCTGAAGACGCGGTGCTCAGCACCAAGCCGTGGGCTCTTGAGTGGCCCCTCTTTCCTCAGATAGTGCCCTGAACAGAGAGGGCTCAGACCGAATCCTCCTGCTACTTCACCTGGGTTTCTGAGTGCTTGGAGGATTTTCTGTGCAATAATACCATCTCAAGAGCTTTGGTATTATTATTACACAACAGACGGATTCCAAATTTGCCATTAAGGAGCTGGTAACTAGGGGAAAGAATGAACTCCATTCAACTCAACTCAGCTCAAATCAGTAAAACAATCAGTAAGAACCAACTAGGTTAGGACACTGCTGGGACATAAATATGAACAGAACACACATCCCGTGATTCAGCTCGCAACCTCAAGAGGCCCTCGAATCAGAGAGGCAGGCTGAGGACCCATGCCAGAACGCTTCCTGGGCAAGATGGAGCTTTGGCAGCACCTGACGCAGGTATCAGAAACACCTGGTATGTAGCTCACAAAATTGGCCACAAATTCCTCCCATTGTCCACTTGCTTGCATAGGTGTGACTTTTCCTCCCCACATAGCAAGAGACATGGTCTGTTTCCTGACCACTTGAGTCTGAACCTGCCCCTGTGTTTTGGCCTATGGGAAATTAGAAAATATAATGCAATGGAGCTTTGAAAAAATGTCAGTGTCATGGATTTCACTGTAGACACAGGGCCTCATTGTCCCTGTCACCAGCCCATAGCAAATGCCAGCTACCAGCCATTCGAGCAGCTCTGTCCTGGACCAGCTTCGTGACAGGGCCCCACAGGTGAGGCCAGAAAATAGACACATGGGTTTAAAGATTATTATCTTAAGTCATTAAGTTTGGGGGTCTTTGTTACACAATAACACTAATCTATACCAAAAATAACACAAACACTTAGCATGTGTGTTAGAAGTTAGGCAATGTGCCTACCATTCCCCCACCCTCGTTCCTCCTTTAGATCCTCCTGCCACAGCCCCTTGGGAGAAACCCATGCCTCTCTCTGTCCCCATACCTTATAGCCACTGGGAGCCTGTCTTTCTCAAGTGGTTGGTAACTGGATGGGGAAGGGACCATGGCCAGGACCTTCCCAGCCTCCCCATCCCAAGCCCACCCTATAAACACAACACACTTCAGATGTCAAAGAAGAACTCAAAGCACTTACAAATTATTGTGCAAGTAGCTCAGTTATTTTGCATATAAAATGTTTTCCCAGACATGCAGAAGTTCACTGGAAGACAGAATCAAGGAACAAAGGCAAAATAGAATTTATGGAGCAGGAGGGATGACTACATGGAGTCTGGAAACAGTGAATCTTGTTTGTTGGCAGATTTGGGGAATAAACTGATTAGCT